GGAACGAAGTTACGGAAAAATCAAATAACAAACGGAGACGTAACAGTATTGTTGAAGTTAACATTCGTTGTTAAAACGTTTGTTACAGAGCGACTGTTGAAAATAAGTGTATCGGTAAAATTATATTCAGAAAGAAGAAACCAGTTTTATTAAGTAAGGACTTGTGTCGCTAAAGTTTCGTCGGAACGAAGTTACGGAAAATCAATTAACGAATGAAGACGTAACAGTAGTATTCACGAAACTAGTGCTTGAACAGTATCTAAAACACTGATTCTACTTCCTTCTTCGCTATTTCTTTTCATTTAGTCATTTACACTCACAAACAGTTCCATAGCTAAATGTCACTTTTTCACTTGAAGTAGTTACCATACGTATATTTCCCATACCCTTTTATTAAATACACATGTGATACCTAATTCAACTAAGCGATATATTATAGTCTATTGCAGAAGGGCTTTTTCTTATAGTAAAAATTTAGTGGAGAGGGATGTCTAGGACTACCACCATCATTCGAATATTATAGATATTCTTGGACAACGTTTATAAACTTGCATCCTCTTTTAACGCCCCGTGGTGGGCAGAACACAGATAGCCCATTGTGTAGCTTTGTGCTTAATTACAAACTTTTAATGCCATTCGTCCTCTAGCGAACACCTAAAATATCGATTACAACAATATCTACAGCTCAATGAGTACGACTAACTGGTATATGTTCTGTAAATAGGAGCGATATTTAGGTTGGTATTTTTTATATTTATTTAAAAAATAAAACATATATTGTATTTTTCAGTTTGTATGATATATAATAAAAAGTATGATGTAAAATTCTCTGAAGATATGTTTAGTTTCATTTACAAAATAATTGAAAACAAAATTTTTTCATCGTTGGGAAAAGATATGTCTATGTTGAAAGACAATAATACGTCATGCTCACTAGTACCGTTACGCAAAGTAGAAAAGCTCGAGTCTATTGTGAAAGTAGGGGAGTTCCCTCATAATTATTTGTGATGTTTTTTCATGTATTTGGATAGAGTTTGGGGAACAGAAAAACGACTTATTCAAACTGTTGTAACATTTTATTTTTATTGAAAATAATTGTGTCAAAATACTGATGTGATCTTTAATACCAGAAGTATGGTGTAACCTGTAAGAGATCGTATGTTGAAAATACGTCATAACGAAGGTTCAATCTGTTGTGACTGTAAGTGTAACACTATCAGTAAGTAATTTATTAAGACGTTTAATGATTTAGTATCCACAGTGTTGGATAATTTAGATTACTTAAAGAACGTCGATTATTTATACAAAATCATAATTTAAAGGAAATTAGTATCGATGCAGTGTTACATTCATTAGATTTTAATCCTAGTTTTAACTGAAAGTAATTAACGATATATGTATATAGTGTTACTGTTAATAAAGTATAGGTAAAATTACAGTTTAATGGCCTGTATATTTCATATTGCCATTATTCAATTCTAATGAATTTTAGGGCATAACATTGAAATGACAATTTTACCTTGATTTTTTGTTAGATGTGATAGACTAAACTTACAGACACACTCTATACTGAATATTATAAAGTAATACACATATACAATTATAAAAGACTGTAAATAAAAACTATGTACCACTATAAATTATAATATAATCTAACAAGTAGTTAGTAATACTGTCTATATATTTATAATTTAAAGTTAAACGTAAAGATGAAATGTGTGTTTGTTTGCACCCTAACTTCGCCAAAACTATTGGGCTAATCTCAACCAAAGTTTGTATGTAAACACTATGAACTATGGGTAATGTCCTAAGGGGTCAAAATTAAACTTAACCCTCTTTCTGTTCCTTTGGTTAATTACTTCTAGCCTTTTGAGTCAATCTCAAACAATCTTGGCAGGTTGACTCTTTAGACAATGTTGAATATTCTGAAGGATTCAAGGTCAAAGTATGAAAGTTGCTGGACTGTTTCTCAAACAATTATGCTTTTCTCATGTTCAATAAGATGTAGGGTGTTCAAGGGTGGGATCACCTCAAAATCTTTATTTGTTGGTAGATGGAAAGCATGTTGTTTATGAAGAAGCTTTGTTTATTGTTATGATTTTGAGCTAAAGTTTATGTTCAAGTTATTACTTTGAAATATATGACTGCTGTTAAACTTGCATTGTTTTAATTAAGTTTAAACATTCCCTGTATTTCAGCTTGTAACTTATAAGCTATGAATATGAGTATAAAATGAGCAGAAGCCAAAGATCAACAACAATCTCTCCACCACCACAGAAACAGCTGTACTACTACTAATAGTAGTAGTACTAGTTAGGCTTGGAAGTTGGATTATGAGTTTAGCTTTGGTCAAGATTTTCACAATATCATGTCAAACCTAGTTACAATCCTCGATTCATCTGCATAATAATTATTAATTTCTGTACTTGAGAAATTAATTGCATTCATATTACTATTTGTATAGTCTTATATTTATATTGATATAACTATCAATTGTACTGTAGACTGTAGTATCTTCTGTGTTTTTTTATAATATATGACTTAGAAACCTGATAATAGTATTACTACTGATTTTTTGCTACATGTGAATATCAGGAATAGTAAGATTTTAGTTCCAAATTAAAACTAAAAAGCTTTGAAAGAACATAACAAGAATTATCCTGGGAAATGGGCTTCTAAATTAGTTGGAGATAATGATCAGAAATGGAAATTATTTTAATATACATTTATAAATACTCAAGACAGATATATTCTTATTTAAAAAAGGTGGCTATAAGGAAAAACCAGGTTGGTAGACATATGGTGTAAGAAATAAAACTGAGCCACATATGTTAAAAATTGAAGGAGGTTTAGGATTGTATATATGATCCACTTGCTACTATTTTTTAAGACCTTGAATAGTAGCCCAGTTTGAAAGTTGGCTAATGTTACTCTGATTATTTTGTTCTGATTATTATAGGTTTATTAATCGTATATATATAGTGGTGAAAGTTTTTGAAAGCCTGGTAAAAGATGCTTTGGATATTTATTTAACAAAGACTAAAAATTTGATGGATAGTCAACATGGTTTCACTAAGGGAAAACTAATCATGTGATATGAGGAGGGTATGGTGTGGAAAATGTTTAATAAGGTGCCATGCTAAGAAAATGATAAATATAGGTGTGGGTTATTGTATAGAAAACTGGCTGGATGGAACAAAGCAGATGTTAGAAATGGTCAGTAAATTACCCATATTTGCTGATGATGTTAAGGTCTTGGTTGTTGCTCGCTGTGAAAGTGAGAATGCTACTGGTTTATACAATGATGTGTATCATTTGGTGAGTTAGGTGTATAAATTACAGATGACTTTTAATTACAATATATGCAAGTGAGTTAACATGATTTGAATTATTAGTATAATTGATAGGAATAACCTTAACTGTGTTATGGAAGAAAAGTAACTTTGTGTACAGGTTGATCAGTGTCTTAAAGACATTCAACCAGTGTGTTGTTACTAGTGTTAGTAGGGCAAATAGAATTTTAGGTTATATCTACAGAAATATATTATAAATAGATTATAATTTCATTGTATAGATCACTGGTTTGGCCACATTTGGAGTATTATGTTCAGTTTTGTGCTCCTTACCTTAGGAAGGATGTTGAATTGTTTAAGATGGTTCAGAGGAGGGTTACTAGAATGGTGCCTGGAATGGAAGGATTGTCGTACAAGGAGAGGTTGAGAATTCTGAAATTGTTTTCTTTTGAAAGAAGAAGTGGTAGATGGGATCTGATTGAGTTGTTTATTATGGTAAATGGAATTGACAGTGAGGACATGACGGATTGCTTTAATCACCAAATATTAAATCTTTATAAAATTACATAAAAGTTTCACTGTTGATGTAAAATGGATAGAATTTGGTTCCAAACCAAATTTTTATTGCTGTTGGTTCATTTCCATTAGAGTGCATTTTTAGTTTTTGGCTTATTATTTAAGTTCATGAACTCTAAAACTGAAATGCAGAAAGCAATTCTACTGTAAATTTCATATGTTGTCTTGGGTGATGAATATCTATTTTGTCTGTACTTCGGTTAGCAAAAAGAGTCAAAGTTTTCCTGTGGGCTAACTATTGGTTGGAATTAAAACCTATTTAAAATTCTCTTATTAGGTCTATTCAGTAACCTGTTAGATCACTAACTTTAGGGATTTTTCTCTGATCTTGTAGAAATCCTGGTAACAGAATGAAGCACCCTAAAATAACCAAATAGTTTAACTATACTTTCTGATGGACTAACTATGGCCATGTTCTGAAATATTAAACAAATGTTTCATCTTTCTTTCTCACAGGCTAAACTATGGACTTGGTATGTGTTGCAAAATAATATTTGTGAACTGCTAATGAAAGATGAACACACCTGTCAAGAACAACTAACATTGTCTGCATAGCAGTGATAATGGATAGGATTCTTACATAAAGTGATTCTAACTAGACGGATATGTAAGTTTAAACAACTGTGTTCAGGGATGTAATGTGATACCACAAGATGTATATACAGACTATAGAGGATGAGAAACTGTATACACAGGTAACCTTTTATGTTATTTGACATCAAGCCCTTGATCACTGGGCACCAATCACTAAAGGAAGATGAGTCAGCTCTAATTGCTGGACCAATCACCACAAAATCAACCCCCATGAGTTTGAATGGATTATGCTATTAAACTCTGGTCCAAAAGTGTAATTGTTCTCGGCATTGTAGTAACTCCAGAGAGTTCCAGGCTTTCCAGTTACTTCAGTTGTTTAAGCTAAGTTCCAGAGATATACAGACAGAAAATGGCAGTTTACTTATACATGCAAGACTTGCACGACACTAACTACGTGTAAGTTTTAATATAGAAGAACACAGAATGACAGTTTACATATACATGCAAGACTTACGCTACACTAACTACGTGTAAGTTTTAATATAGAAGAACACAGAATGACAGTTTACTTATACATGCAAGACTTGCACTACACTAACTACGTGTAAGTTTTAATATAGAAGAACACAGAATGACAGTTTACTTATACATGCAAGACTTGCACTACACTAACTACGTGTAAGTTTTAATATAGAAAAACACAGAATGACAGTTTACATATACATGCAAGACTTGCACTACACTAACTACGTGTAAGTTTTAATATAGAAGAACCCAGAATGGCAGTTTACATATACATGCAAGATTTACGCTACACTAACTACGTGTAAGTTTTAATATAGAAGAACACAGAATGACAGTTTACATATACATGCAAGACTTGCACTACACTAACTACGTATAAGTTTTAATATAGAAGAACACAGAATGGCAGTTTACATATACATGCAAGACTTGCACTACACTAACTACATGTAAGTTTTAATATACAAGAATACAGAATGACAGTTTACATATACATGCAAGACTTGCACTACACTAACTACGTGTAAATTTTAATATACAAGAATACAGAATGACAGTTTACATATACATGCAAGACTTGCACTACACTAACTACGTGTAAATTTTAATATAGAAGAACACAGAATGACAGTTCACTTGTACATGCAAGACTTGCACTACACTAACTACATGTAAGTTTTAATATAGAAGAACACAGAATGACAGTTTACATATACATGCAAGACTTGCACTACACTAACTACGTGTAAGTTTTAATTGCTATTCTACTTTCACTAATAATATTTCCAGGTGGATCTAATATAAGTTATTGAAAGTGTAAACTTTTATGTAATCGATGTTATTGTTTTTCATTCATTATAAGCCTTCATATCTTTATGTTGGACTCAGTATCATTTATTCCTTGCTTTACTTGTATATTTCCTTGAGTTGGTTAACTTGTGTACCCGTTTGCAACTGCTTACCTGAGTTTTTTGATAAATCTATTGTAATTGGTGTCTTGTCGCTCCAAGTGACGCTTTCTCATTCCCATGATAAAGCAGCCTGTTACGAGAATTACATTTTGGTAATGGAATTACAGTAAGAGAATTACACGGGTTTTTCTCTTTCTGTGTAAGCTTGCAGTAATAAATCTAATTCATAAGTATGGCACCAGAGGTCAGGGCTGATAATTAAAGCATTGTTTTAGCTTAACTTCAGTGTACGTAATAGAGGGCAGCAACACTTTCCTATTTCCAGAAGGTTCCATGCTATGCTCAAGACAAAGGACAAATTGTATCTGCACGAATTTAAATTGCACAACATCCAGTCATAAGGTGATTAGACACACCAAAACAGTTAATATCTTCTTCAGGGCCATCCTACAATATTTAGATTGAACTGTTCATTAGTTTCAGAAAGTAGTTGTTTTTTTGTGATGGACCATCAAATAAGTTCAAACAGTGCTTCTTTCTCTCAAACATCACACTCTTAAACAGAAATATAGATGGGATTTCTTTTTCACTTCTCATGGCAAAGGCCCAGTAGATAGCATTGGAGGAACCACAAAAAGATTGGTCTCCTCAGAATTGATGTCTGGCAAAGCAGAGGTTACAACATTCAATGAATTCACTGAGGTTGCTGCCAAGATATTCAGATAAAACACATAAGCAAAGCTGAGGTTAAGTGAGAAATCAAAAAGCTGGGTGATGACTGGAATGAGATAACTCCCATCCCTAACACAAAATGGGTACACAGAGTCACTGTGGTTGCACCATTTGTCATCATTGTGCAGCACCATGCAAATTCCCCTAACACAAGGCACCACTTCAAAGGTGCAGATGCTGATGGTGGTAAAGATGGTGATTACATTGATGATGGTGACGAAGACCACACAGTGAAAGGCATGTCACAGCCAACCTTGAGAGCAAACTAGAAGCCTTGCCTAAAGATCTTAACTTGAAGTGGGTGGTTGTCAGATACTCTGTCCAGAGGAATGCCAAGAAATTTGTTGGCCAGGCTCTTGAAACTCAGGACAACAAAGTCACCATCAAGTTCTTGAAAAAGAAGGAATTAAAGTTTGTGTGGCCTGACATTGATGATGTAGATTCTCTTGGCAGGTCTTGTGTAATCAAGGTATACACAGAACCACAGATTGATAGATGTTTGAGAATTGCCTTTTCAGATAGAGTTGAGTGGGCCAAAGTATATGTACATAACTCTGTTGTCTTTTCTGTGCCACACACTAGCACTAGGCTTGAGTAGCATCAGAATAGAAAATACAGTTCTCTGAGTGCATAGGGTTAAGGACAAGTATTCTGATGTGGTATTTGATTCATTATTTGCATATATATTGAGACGGGTAATTCCATCATCGAACTATACTTGCTAAGTTTAAACGAACAGTATATATATCAGGACCAAATCTCCTTCCATGAATTTACCACCATCCATGTCTACCTTGTAATGCCAGCAATCAGCTTCAATTGGCTATAAGATTCAGACAGAATGTCATTACATTTGTTAGAAACCAATTTTGAAATTTTCTGTGCAATTCCATTACCAAAATAAAATCAATCATCATTTCATCCCTTTGTTAGAATTTTTGATGAATACAACTGTTTATTGTAGGGAAGGGTTTGTACTTCCACAGCCTACTCAATATATTCTTCAAGGCACAAACTGAACTTCAACATTTGTAACTGAATTCCAAAACCTGTTGTGAACTGTAATTACGTTACCATGGAATTGCCCATTGTTGATGCATCATCTTTTTTTTCATACTTATTGGTGAGAATGGTAGGACTAGGGGACAAATATAAATTTTTGCAGGGTAGGAGTTATCTTCAGCTAAGACAGATTTATTTTTTAACAGGATGGTTGGCCTTTGGATGTGGAGGCAGTAAATTTAAGAGAAAGTGTGATAAATATATGAATGATAAGGGCTGGCTTTGAGATTTTTTTATTTAATATAGTTTTAGTTTATAGGATAGGACAGCTTAGATGGACCAATAGGTCCCTTGTTGTTCCTAAACATTGTTATATTAGCTGAAGATGATTCCTACCCAGCCAAAATGTATATTTATTTATCCTAATACTATTATTCTTACCATCAAGTACAAATAAGATGATGAATGAACACTATCAATTCCCTTAATAATCTTAAACACCTCAATCAGATCGTCTCTAACTTTTTCTTTCTTAAACTTAGCCTACCCTTAAACTTACTTTTACACCTTTTTTGTGTATTACACTTTTCTCTACATCGTATTTTTCTTCATTTAGTTTATTCTGGCCCTCACCTAGTTTAAATCTGCCCTTACAGTTGAGTTAAAATCAGGCTAACCCCCCTATCCTATTCATATGTGAAATATCCAAGCTCTATTTTCCTATTGAACTGATCCAACAAGCCTAACTTGATGACTTAAAATTTCACCTCCACATTTAATTCATGGTAATATTCCTGACAGAATTAAGTTATTATGGTCATTTTCTTTAAACTACTTTAAGAATTCCTTGTGCTTTTCCATTAGTTCCTTTGACCAACCCTTCCATATATCATTTAGCCCCTGTGTGCACTATAAAGACTGCATCACCATTTACTATATCACTTTCTCTGTAAGTTATATTTTTCATCCTTTGATAGCATAACCTAATTCTTTTCTCCCTACTTACTCCACAGATTATCCTAGTCACGTACCACGCGGAACCTATAACTACAACTTCCTCATTTTCATTCTATTCCCTATCTGTCACATTTATTGTTATAGTTCCCTATCTGAAATCTTTTACTTAATAGAATCCACCACTTGCCCAAATGGTACTGTTTCTACTACTAGTTGAAAGTCACTATTGTATCTTCTGCATGTAAAAGCTTAAGTTCCTCTTGCTGCCACAGTTTACACTGCACTCTTCTTTCGTCTGTATGTAGTGTTGTGTTGCCTTCAACTTTTCCTTCTGCCTGCAAACTCTACAAACAAATTGCACAACTTCACTACTAGCTTTCTCAAAAGTGCAACAGATTCCTTGCACCTTACCAACTTGTGAGTGTTTAATACCTACACTACTCTCAACTGTTGTAGTCTGGGAATAAATAATTAACACCAAGTACCAGTGGTCTTTGATATCACTGTTAAGCCTGACATTTGAGCATTAAATTTATTATGCTATTTTATCACTTTATATTCTCACTAAGTACTATGTATTATCTTCAAGATATAGAAATGACAAATAATGTGTTTTTAGATGATACCTGTGTAAGAAAACTATATAACCTGTTTTATAACTTTACTGGTAAGCTAAATTGTAAGTAATCAAGGTACACTCACTAAGCATAATCTAGAATTAGTAATATGTACACCAATGAGCCCTAATTTAAAACTGTAATCTTATTATTGTTATTTGCCAGTCAAATCAACTTACATTTTTGTTATTAATGCAAATTACTAAAGTGGTGACAAAAAGACTTTGGCATTCTGGTTCATAGTGGTGGCAAGAAGATGTAGGCCTTCTGGTTCACAGTGGTGTCAGTAAGAAATTGACTTTGAGTTCATAATGGTGACAACAATACATTGGCTTTCTGGTTTATTGTTGTAACACAAAATAATGACCTTTTGTGTTATAATGGTGACAGTGAGGCACAGGTTTTGTGGTTTTATAATGGTGAAAATAAGTTGCCAACCATGTGACACAGGTCTTGTGGTTTTATAAGGCAACTTATTTTCACCAAACCATGTGACACAGGTCTTGTGGTTTTATAATGGTGAAAATAAGTTTCATTTATATTTACCATCCTGGAATTAGTATCTTCAAATAGAATTATGTTCTTAGTTATAAACTACTGTGCTTTTATAGTTAACTACTTTTGGAATAATTTTACTTTTTTGATAAACATCACTTACAATTTATTTCTTATTTTTACATCTTTTAAGCTGAAATCATGAATTGGGAAGAAGAAGAAGGTTGAAAAGAATTTATTGCTAACTTTCTTCACCACATAAAGCAAAATGACTGCTGTTCAGCCATCTTCAACCACAGTGGATAGTCCCCTAATTGATGAGAAAAATAAACCAAGCAGAGGCCATTTTAATCATGAAGAGGATCGTCTGAAAACCTTTGACACTTGGCCCATTAATTTTCCAGTAGATAAGTTTTGCCTAGCAAAAGCTGGATTTTATTATTTGAGTCATGAGAATGAAGTTGTTTGTTTTAGCTGTGGGCTACATTTGAAAGACTGGGATTATGGAGACTCACCAGCATTGAAACATCGTCAGTGTTCCCCAAATTGCAGTTTTATATTAGGTACGTCAGCTAATGTTCCTCTGATCAGTGGTCAGAGAAGGAATAGCTCACTCTTAGAGCATCAAGAAGTACCAAATGAAACAAGGAATATGGAAAATACTGAGCTAAAGCATGAACACCGTTATAGTCCACATCAGAAAAGATTAAATCTTGTACCACAACAGAATGGTGTAAACAGTATTTCACATCAGAATAACTTCCATTATGGTCCTCAGCAAAAGGGTAACTCCCAAGAGTTACAACAAAATAAAGATGTGATCAATAATTACAAGACAAGATTGAATGACATGACAGATGAAAGCAAGAGATTAAAAACCTTTCAGTACAGCTGGCCATTATCTTTCATAAAACCCCAAGACTTGGCAAAGGCAGGTTTTTTTTACCTAGGTAGTCGGGATAGAGTTCAGTGCCCGTATTGTCTGGGTGTTGTTTCCAGTTGGGAACAAGGAGATGATCCTGTTGTTGAGCACTTACGCCACTTTCCGCGCTGCCCATTTATCATGGAGAAAGCACGTGAAGAAAAATCTGTTTCCAATCCCAGAATTTCATGTCTGTTATTTAGAGGAAATGACGAGTGTGGTAGGTACAAAACAAGTGAAGCTGAACATTCAAAACTTATGGATGTGAATCAGAAGCATATTAAATTAGAAGATCTGGGTATAAGTATTCACAGAGGGCCTAAGCACTCGTCTCAAGCAAGTTTAGCAGCGAGATTGAGATCATTTGCTTCGTGGCCAGAAGATGCCCCTGTGAGACCCGAGTTATTGGCAGAAGCAGGGTTCTTCTATATAGGTGAGATCTGTAACAGTAATTCCTTGTAATTTACAACATGTGAAAGATCAGTACTTCATTGAGTCTTAGACAACCACGAGATTTATTTTGGTGAGTCCCTAATCTTTAACCATTTTATGTTGTGAAAGATCAATAATTCACTGTTATTTAGACCATCACAGGGTTTATTCTGATGAGTCCCTTATCTTTAACCATTTTATGTTGTGAAAGATCAATAACTCACTGATATTCAGACCATCACAAGGTTTATTCTGGTGAGTCCCTTATCTTTAACCATTTTATGTTGTGAAAGATCAATGATTCACTGATATTTAGACCATCACTAGGTTTATTCTGGTGAGCCCTTTATCTTTAACCATTTGATGTTGTGAAAGATCAATGATTCACTGTTATTTAGACCATCACCAGGTTTATTCTGGTGAGTCCTTTATCTTTAACCATTTTATTTTGTGAAAGATCAATGATTCACTGTTATTTAGACCATCACTAGGTTTATTCTGGTGAGTTCCTGATCTTTAACCATCTTATGTTGTGAAAGATCAATAATTCACTGTTATTTAGACCATCACAAGGTTTATTCTGGTGAGTCCCTTATCTTTAACCATTTGATGTTATGAAAGATCAATGATTCACTGATATTTAGACCATCACTAGGTTTATTCTGGTGAGTCCCTTATCTTTAACCATTTTATGTTGTGAAAGATCAATGATTCACTGTTATTTAGACCATCACAAGGTTTATTCTGGTGAGTTCCTTATCTTTAACCATTTTATGTTGTGAAAGATCAATGATTCGCTGATATTTAGACCATCACCAGGTTTATTCTGGTGAGTTCCTTATCTTTAACCATTTTATTTTATGAAAGATCAATGATTCACTGATATTTAGACCATCACTAGGTTTATTCTGGTGAGTCCCTTATCTTTAACCATTTTATGTTGTGAAAGATCAATGATTCACTGATATTTAGACCATCACAAGGTTTATTCTGGTGAGTTCCTTATCTTTAACCATTTTATGTTGTGAAAGATCAATAATTCACTGATATTTGACCATCACAAGATTTATTCTGGTGGGTATATTTAAGGTTATGTTAAAGATCAGACTGTGTTTAGTGTGCTGTGTTTCAGCTGGAGCCACCTTGGCAGTTGGTGAGATGGTAGGTGATGAATAATGGATTATGGGGCAGTGGTGAGCCTTCCTGAGTTGAATGTTGTACTACTAACATAGTCATGATCTGGAGGAGCTGTTTCTCATCCTTCTTAACAGGGTCTTACTGTTTGTCAAAGCATCTGAGTCCCTGAGAGCACCTAACATACTGTACCTCCAATGTTTAGGAGATTTCATTGATTTAAGCTGAGAGACTATGTCTATGGCAGTTATTTTGGTGTAAAGTTAATAGTTTAGAGAAAAATTAGCAATCACCAAGGGTGTTCGAAGATTAGCAATCCTTCTCTACCCTGCTCGAGGTTAATGATTAGAAGTTCAATGAGAGGTCATCGTTCTAATGGGCCAAGTGGGCTAAAAAAATTAAGATAAATATTGAATGCATATGCATACATACACACAGGTAATGATTAGGGGATGTGGGTGGAAGTGAAGGTGTAGCAGGGGCAGATTAGCTAAGAGTTCATTGGAGAAAGGTTTATAACACTCTTGCAGATATGGTAAGTAAGGCTAATCAGATTTGTTACCCATTCTTAGGGTACAGCTGAAGAAGGTCTTCCTTAATAATTTCAGTTAGGTTACTGTCTGGAATAAACAGGTTCGGGGACAGACAGTGCAATGCTTAATGCATGTTGTTCAGTGCTTGGCTCAATCAGGAATTTGGATAAGAAGGAAGGAGGAGCTGAGAGCATTTGTATGGCTATTCTCAATGATCCAGTTGATAAAAAGCGGGATTTAAAGATAAGAGCCAGATCTGAAGATTGTCTGATTCATTGCTGGCAGCTAGGGTGCTTGTAAAGTCGAGCACCCAATCATTGAAAGGATGTGGTGATTCTAAAAAAAACGTTTGAAATGCATTTAGGAGGTTTTAGGGATTACACAAAGGAAATTTTAGATTTTTGAGATGAGTTAAAGCATTTTTAATTTTAATATGAAAATTACTTTGCACTCGGACTATTCAAAACAAATATTCAATATATTAATGGACACGTTATTTTATGAAAAATTTTTCACTAAAAAAATATGATTTTTTTGTACGTGAACCTTTTGTAATATGAACTGATAGACTGCCAAATTTTGTGAAGATATATATACACTATATTGAAAGTTAGAAGTATTAAATCTATAAAGACTTTTATCGAGTACAAATAGGCCATGTGGTCAGTCAAACTGACAGAGCCCTTGTTGAGAGAGTTAAAGGTTGT